ACATCTCCCTGCCCAGCTATTAGCAACCCTGACATCACTGGTTTCCAGGAGCTGGGCGGGGCACCAGAGGCGCAATTTGTTGTAGAAACACCTATGTTTGCTTCTCCCAGAGTTCAGCTTTAATGTAATTAGTTATTATTGCTCAATTATTTGTTGTATATTCTTCTAAACAAAGGAGCTCTGATATCTGGCAGATTGATCATACATTATGAGATACTCACTAGCAGTTCAAATACTTTAGAATTTCCTGGTGAAATCTGTGCAATTTTTGTGACGGGTATTTACCGCGCGATATCGCTCTCCAATGCATCTCAATGGGGCTCGGTCCGTCGCTGTCGCGGGTCGTGCGTCGCTACAGCAGGACCCTTTTTGGAGCGGATTTTGCCACGATTCTAGGTTGCTCCATGCAACCATTTGCGCGATATCGCGCGGCAAATGCGAAATATCACGCAAAATGCAAATCGCGCGACAAACACGCGATTTGCGAATCGCTCAGTGTGAATGGGGCCTAATACTGGAATGCGAGTCTTAGAGCAGTCCGCCATACTCAATGATCCAGCAACATTGTCAACATTTGTCATATAGAGAATTGTGGATGCTCCCTCCAGTGGTTACATGGATGTCAGAGATGTTCAATCAGCCTCTTTAGTTAACCACCAAAAAAACTATTACAGGATAAAACACCCACATTAGGAGAGAGGATGTAGAAAGCACAGCCACTATGTAACACTACTCTACAAGACAGGTTTTTACATGCTGTGTGTGAAAGAGAAAATAATGATATTCTGTGAAGATATTCACCTGCAACAGGGAAGTAAGCCTGGCCCAGGCATTGGGGTTGATTTACTAAAGGAGTGCAGTGCAAAGTGAAATTTTATGTGTTTCAGCACATATGTTGGAATGCAAGACAATGCATGCATCATAGTCTACACATGTTAACCAATGAGCCCCTTCCCATCTATGCACGCGGTGTTCCTGCATTTTAAATAATGAGGCATGTCCATTTTTCTGTGCACCCGAGGCCCATAGAAGTCTGTGGCAATGCATGAAAGCACAAGTATAGTGCGTTTTCATGCGTTACCAACCCCTGGTAACAAGGTTCTCCCCTGGTTTCCTGCCATGAAATCACACTCTGCTCCAAGCAAGATGGCTGCTGCAAAATCTCTGCAATGTAGAGAAGTTCTCATTAGGGAGATCTACAGCCTTTCCCTCCTGTATGACCCCTCCCACCATCCCTATAGATATATACAGTCAGTATATATATATATATATATATATATATATTGTGGCAGTGCATGGCAATGCCACGGTGTAGTATGGCAACTTTGGCACCCAGGACTCTCAGCCA